GAGGGTCCTACTCTTTCTTCGCTCATTAGTGAAGGTGACCAGAGCCGTGGCTCTACGTATCTAACCTATGGTCTCCAATTAACAAAAACTTTTTGCTTTTCATGACTTGGCTTTTCTTACACCAAACCCTTATTGCGCTCCCCGTCGACCCAACGAAACCAATGCAATTCCTTTCATCTTTGCTAGAGCCCCAAATCGTTTACCACTGTGCTTATCCTGCATTCACGCACTCCTACAGTTTACAAAGTAGGCTTTTTAGTTTTTCTGAGCGTATTATCATAGGTCTAACTCTCTGTCACGTTAGTAAGGCTTAAAGAGGTAACAACTTCTAACCCGTTACCTATAAATTTTCACGAAATAAAAATATGTTTCATAGAAACATCTGAGAGGGTTGTTCATTTTGCGTGTCAATGAGCACACATTCGGCTGAGTAAACTGGCTTCCCCTAGGTGTTTCTTATTTAGCGAACTGTCAGAATGTCAGTGCTTCTTTTCTCTCTAGAAAAGGTGAAGCATTTACATATAAGCACATACTTGAGCCTATAGCTTTATCAATCATTGAAAACACAAATTGTTAGAAAGGTAAGAGATCCATGTATTCTTCTCAGCATAGCCGGCTAAACAGTAATATGCTTTTCAAATTTTATGATAAAAACACACGAACAAAAGCACAGATTCACAGAAGATGCTTTTATGATGTATTTGTAAACGTAAAACAAGAAGTGGCGTTTCTTCACCTTATACAACATCATTGGATATATACTACTTCTTGTCCTTCTCCTGAAAAGATGAAATCTTGAAAGCTCAAAGTGTTCTGTAGCATAGCATTTAAGAAAGGAAGCTGGTTAGAACAGTTCTTAAGATCCCATGTAATAATGTAAAGTCGTGGTTTTTAACGGAATTGAGATAAAATGACGTTTTTGATATTCGTATTTATGGAAAAGTATATACTGCAATCATTTCTTCGGTTAACTCATTCTTACAATTTTCTTACCTCTTTCTCTTTCTCCTCTTTCTTTTCATCGTTCTTGATTTCCTAAACAACCTTTTAAAATGCACGACAATAAAATAAGCTATATGTGGCTTACATCAGCCTTGGCTGCCGCATCTTTGGCTGGCTGTTCTTTCATCTTTTTCTTGCCTTTCTTTGACTTTTTAGATTTACTCTTTTTACTCTTCTTTTTCGACTTCTTCTTCTTTTTCTTATCCTTTCCCTTCTTCTTAGCCGCGGAACTACTTTCTGATCCTTCCTCCTTTTCTTCTTTCTTTTGCTCTTTCTTTTCCTCCTTCTTTTCTTCCTTCTTCTCTTCTTTTCCTTCTACCTTCTCTTCCTCCTTCTTCTCCTCCCCCTCCTTCTTCTCTCCCTCTTCCTTCTTCTCCTCTTCTTTACCCTAAGAAATTCAAAAATTAATAGCTTCATGGTTGTTCAATTTGTGTAGTTACCGGTCCTTTCGCGGCCGAAACTGACGATGAGGACGATGCTGCACCAGCTTCAGGTGCTCCTGGAGCGGCTCCTGGGGCGGCTCCTGGAGCGCCTTCCGGAGCGGCTCCCGGAGCAGCTCCTTCTGCTGCAGGAGTTCCAGGAGCTCCAGGTGCAGCCCCTACCGCTGACGGTGTTGCACCCTGCATGCGATTATCTTTGTGAAGCATGAAACTTAGTAGATATTTAATCACCTCCTCCTCCTCTTCTCCCTCTTCGTCCTTCTTCCCACATGACATCAGTATGAACAGAAGGCAAGCCCATTGCAGTAGTAAATACAGAAACGTGTCCAGCATTTATATAAGAAGTACAGTAATCCACAGAAAGTCGCCACAAGATAATCCACTTTTGTTAACGCCCACCAGATAGCAGAGGTCTTACCTCCGAAGAACACGAACTAGGAATGAAGAAAAACCTCCTTGA